TCCAGCCCCAAGTCCTGGGCGATCCGCCCCACGAAGGTGCCGTGTTTGGCCTCCTCCAGGACTGAGTAGTGAACCTGGCCGCTCCCAGCCTCCCAGACTGTGAGGAGCAGAAGCGAAAGCAGTAGTTGCCGGGCTCCTGAACCTTCTTCTCTCCATGAAAACATCACTGCAAGCCTTTTCCAAATATTGGGTCACTCTTGCATCGATCCAAACTTTAAAAAATAATTTGGGTTCCTCGGTTTTTCTTAAATAATCTTACCATGCCCGTATTTCACAGAGGATGGGGAAAAGCAGCAACTGAGTATGTAATGCATGATGTATTTCTTTTGTGGTGAAACACCTTGTGGTGGACAGCGACATCATGTGGCTAAACGTGTAAGTATTAAATAAATTTACTACTTGGGTCTGAACTTTCCCCAAATTTCTATTTTCGTTGTAATATCCTCCGAGCACTTTTCAAATTCTTTACATTAAAAAAATATATATCCTTATAGCTTTTATACTAATTCATCACTTCCAAATATTCCAATCCATGACATAAAGTTAAAAAGAATAGAATAGTGATTAATGCTATAACAGTAGTGGACATCTATTGGAAATATTCCCCATGTGACAAGCATGGGGTTATAATAGGGTTATCCCATTATATTCTCACAACAACCTTCCAAGGTAGGTATCAATACAATTCACTTTTTACCAACAAGGAAGTGAAAACATATCAGTTAAGTAACTTAAAAGTGATATTAATTGTTGATGTTTGGGTGGGATCTCAATGTGAGTCTAAACTCGTAACTTTTATCACTTGGCCTTGAAGTCTACATTTTATAGCAAAACCAGGCCTTTGATATTCATGACCACCAAAACATCGAGGCATTGAAAGTATGTGTATATACATATCCATCTATCCATACATATTTACTTCTATGTTATGATGGCAATTGTTAATTTACATTATTTATTTATTTATTTATGGAATGTTTATAACACACTCTTGTGTGCTTTATCCAGTAATTATACCCTGTTGTCTGTCTTAACTGTTATTTATAAAAGATGCCAGAAGTCAGTTTTTTACAGTGCAGTTCTTTTGTAAATTTGTTTTTTACAAATGAAAATACTGTGTGATTTAGATATTTGCTACATTCATGTCATACCAAGTAAGAGTATATGTGTTTTTTTAAATTTCCACACCACTTATACATTTCAATTTACCTGTATATCCGAAAATGATTGCAATATGAGATCATTGTGTTTTTAATGATCTCTGCTCTAGATGAATTTCTGGATTCCAGTTTTTTAAAAAGTTGTGACTTGAAAGTTTTGGTGACTTAACTAATAAATAGAGAGAGAAAAGTAACTTTGGAACATAATTCACCATTCAACGTATGTAAGATGAGACAATATAATATTCTAAAAGTTTCTGAGAATTCAGCAAGAGGCATGAGTTCTTTGGGTACTTGCAAGTTGAGCAGAGAAAATTCATGGGCAGAGGTTGACTTTAGAGAGGTAAAAGCATGTCAAAAGCTTTGCTTATAGTCAGAGCCTCTTGAAATAAAATCAAACACATGATTTAAGTATTAGGGGAAAAGTTTTCATACCAGCTTTTTTTTCCCATGTACTCACTGAACGCAAGCCAGGATTGCAACTTAACTCGTATTTTATCATTCACATTCAGAATAGAATAAATTATCAATTAATGTTTGGGGTTTTTTCCAATATATGAAGTTTATTGTCAAATTGGTTTCCATACAACACCCAGTGCTCATCCCAAAAGGTGCCCTCCTCAGTACCCATCACCCACCCTCTCCTCCCTCCCACCGCCCATCAACCCTCAGTTTGTTCTGTTTTTAAGAGTCTCTTATGCTTTGGCTCTCTTCCACTCTAACCTCTTTTTTTTTTTTCTTCCCCTCCCCCATGGGTTTCTGTTAAGTTTCTCAGGATCCACATAAGAGTGAAACCATATGGTATCTGTCTTTCTCTGTATGGCTTATTTCACTTAGCATAACACTCTCCAGTTCCATCCACATTGCTACAAAGGGCCATATTTCATTCTTTCTCATTGCCACGTAGTATTCCATTGTGTATATAAACCACAATTTCTTTATCCATTCATCAGTTGATGGACATTTAGGCTCTTTCCATAATTTGGCTATTGTTGAGAGTGCTGCTATAAACATTGGGGTACAAGTGCCCCTATGCATCAGTACTCCTGTATCCCTTGGGTATATTCCTAGCAGTGCTATTGCTGGGTCATAGGGTAGGTTCAATTAATGTTTTAATGGATAAAAGATTATTTTAAACTATCTCAAGTAACTAAACAAGTAAGCTACATTAATGATATGTGTTAATATCAAACTTACATAATTTCTAATTGATTCTACTGTACTAGTTCACAAAGAACATGTCATGTGTTCAAGAACTAGTTCACGAAACATTTAAGAATTATTTTGGAAAAGCATGGATCTAGGAAATAATTATAGGCATCTATATGTCAAATGTTTTGAAGAATCTTGAAAGGCAGTAGTTTTAAAAAGATACAGAATTGGGGCGCCTGGGTGGCTCAGTCGGTTGGGCGTCCGACTTCGGCTCAAGTCATGATCTCGCAGTCTGTGAGTTCGAGCCCCGCGTCGGGCTCTGTGCTGACAGCTCAGAGCCTGGAGCCTGTTTCGGATTCTGTGTCTCCCTCTCTCTCTGCCCCTCCCCTGTTCATGCTCTGTCTCTCTCTGTCTCAAAAATAAACGTTAAAAAAAAAAAAAAGATACAGAATTAAAATTTTAAAACATATTAATGGAATACCTCTGACAGCTTATAATACTATATATTTCATGACATTTAAGAGTATACTAATTGCAAAGTAGAATGCCACAGGGAATTAATGACAGAGTATAATGATTATAGGCAATGAAGGTAACACTAAAGGAACTATGAGTCTAGAAGATTGAGCTGATGTGTGGATAAAGTATCAGTGAATAATATCTACTCTCACTTAGACATCTCCTTAGGCAATTTAATTTAAAAATGTAAATAAGGAATAAAAAATCAGTAATAAAAAAATTAAAATTAAAAAATAACCAATAACAATTTGTACAGTGATAGACTGTGATTCCCTCTTAGTGATAAACTGAGTTCTGGGTATACCTGGATATAGTTTTCAAAGCTTACCATTTGTCTGTAGTACAAAGGTAGGGGCCAGACTTCTAGTAGGACAGATTCCACCTGACCAGTCATACTCTGCACACAAGTCCCAAGAAAGTAGTGAGTAGATATGAGACTCTAGGTAGGATGACTCCTCCCAAAAAAGGAGTTCCTCCTTATTTGCTCAAACCATTTCTTTTTCTCCGTAAAGCCTCAGATAAACATTTCTGATTCTCAGGAAATATACACTCCCTAAATTTTGAGGCGTATCAACTCTTAGCAGCTAAGAAGTTTACTGTAGAAACAGACTATCCTTAAAAGATTTCCCCATCTAACTTTTCAATTCCTTTAAAAGCAGATCTCAGATGAAAATGAATAGCTGGCCTGTTGAATGGATAAGACCCAGATCACTTAGTGGAAGTTATTTCTACAATTCACCAATATCCACGTACATATGGGGGGAAAAAACAGCATATAGCTAAAAAACAAATAGAAGACAGTTTTAGACAGTTATTTCACCCCAACACATCTTCTTTTGAAGTGTTTAAATTCTTTTCCAAGTGTAACATTTACTTTTCAAGTTTATGTTTTAACTACCCAACACAGGAATTTCCAATTAAAATGTAGTCATTCAATATCAGTCTTTACTTTTTGGGAAAACTCCAACTTCATTAGTTATAGGGATGCTGCCAGGAGAAAGTGAGTGAGCTCACAGTTGTGGAAAATGTTATCATGGGCACAGTTTGGTGCCAGAGGCGGGTGGTCAGCCTCTGCACAGTGGGAGGCCTGTACACATTAGCCTGGTGATAGTGATACTGGGAAGGATGACTGAGCAACCCAGTAACATAACACCTGAGTTAGGGTACTCTCCACTTTTATGTAAAAAAAAACTCCCACTACCTGGCCACCCACAATGTGATTTCGTAAATGTTAAGATATTTTTATAGTGTTAAGATATTTTAACAAAATTGAAAGGGGGTTCTTTCCTCAGGGAACTTTCTATTGTACCTTAAAACTCTAAAGATTTTGCAAGTGTGAAATCTTTATTCCAAATCACAAGCTATGTGACCCCTGAAAGAAATATGTATCATGAGCAATTATTCCCAAGTGATGTCATGTGTTGTAATGATCTATGATAGGTATTTTTGAAAACTTTTTTTGATGTTTATTTATTTCTGAGAGAGACAGAGAGATCATGAGCAGGGGAAGGGCTGAGAGAGAGGGAGGCAGGTTCCAGGCTCCATTAGCATAGAGCCCAACGTGGGGCTCAAACCCACCAACCACAAGATCATGATCTGAGCCGAAGTCAGACCCTTAACTGACAGAGCCACCCAGGCACCCCTGATAGGTATTTTTGCAGGTCCTGGCAATAAAAGATCCATTCAGGCTGCTTTCAAGTACAAGGAAATGAAAACCTTATTTATTACCTGTTGCATAAACAGATAAAGACAAATGAATTCTTGACTGAAAGAATAATTTAGAAAACATCCAGATATACATATAGTCCTATTCCAATATATTCTGACAGAATGGATAGATGATGTAAATAGGAAATATGCATTATATATTCATACTCTTTAAATTTTTTCCAGTTATGAACTTTTTTATTTTGAGAAAAAAATTACTTACAGGTAATAAGTTTTCAAATTTAGCTTAAGTGTTTTTCAATCCTTCAAGGTCTTATTATTCATGAACAGATTTAATTATGAAAAAAACAAAATGTGAAAATAAGGAAATCATTTCAATTAAATTGTTCTCAGTGCAAGATGCATCTCTATTTCATACCATATAATGCACAATCGGATAGTGATTAAAAATAAGCAAATATGAATCAAAATAGAATCATTAACAAAGGAAATAGAACAATTCTAGAATCGATGGAAAAGACTCACCTTTCCTAAGTGTTCTGACTCTGAGGGTTGTTGTCTTTCATCTGCGGAGCCTGGAACTTGAGGTAGGCTGGGGCTGAAGGCCATGAGGTCGGTCTTGGGCGGACCCTCCCCAGAGCACACCCTCTGCCGCCTCTGCTGAGAGTACGACCAGCTCCC